TCTCTCTCTCTCTCTCTCTCTCTCTCTCTCTCTCTCTCTCTCTCTCTCTCTGTGTGTGTGTGTGTGTGCTTGCTTGTAACGGATGTCGCCAAGGACATTTCTGAGTGATTATCAGTGAATCACTCTTCTTGTTCCAGCAAATGCTTTTTTGAGTCTGAGTCTGTGAGACATTATTCAAAGATGTCATGATGCTTTGTAACTTCTGTTCCCTTTTTTCCACATCTGGGCACCAGAAGGTCTACAACGCTTCTCCTTTTGTCGACACAGCTCTCTTTTTCTATACACAGCTCTCTTTTTTTTTTCTATACACAGCTCTCTTTATCTGAGATTGCATATGAAAAACAACTGCTCTTCCTGCAAACATGTTGCAACAACTTCCATCTGTGTTGGTCAGTACTCCAATTAGGAATTTAGGAGGAATGTCGGACCTGACCAACGTCATTCCACCTAAATATTTTTGCAATTGATTTAATTGCCTTTTTAGATGTGCTGCATCTTTTTTAGGTAAATTATGAAAAGCACCTAACTTTTCTTGTGTCTCTAGATTCTTAAGCCGTTGTATTCGAGTTTCTATCGTCATTAGTTCTTCTTCATCTTCCCTTCTTCTTCCTCTTCTTCTTCTTTCTCTTCTTCTTTGGCATCCTCTTGCCTCCATTTCCCACCTCACATCTCGTCTGTGACGTCTCTTCTGTGTTTGGAATGCGCCACCGGTTGGAGTGAGATGAGATCAGAGTCACGTTGTCATTTCGTTGGATTGTCGTTGGATGTGACACAGTGGAAGACAGCAATATCTGATGTGTCTTCCACTGTGTCACACTGCATCTCTGTCTCATGTTGATGAGCCCTCTGGACTTTGCTGGCTGGCCGATGGAAAACCTGGGCGTGTATCATAACCGTGATGGTATTCTCGTCCTCCCTTTACCCTCTCCCCTGCCGTCTGTGACTTGTTTGCAACCTGTGGTCCCCACCTTTGCTGCACATCTCGATACGTTCATCCTCTCTCCTGCTGTTCTTTACTTCTATCTCGCTCTCTCTCTCTCTGACGCCAACCCCTGCGCCGTAGGCGCTGCTGATTTGCGCAATTGCACATCGAACTGACTCGTCGTGCCCAATGTCTTCATTTCCACTGAGTATGTTGTCCTCCATCTTTTTGTATTCTGAAAACAAGCGTCGATGTCCCATTTCTTTCGTCAGTCCCACCTCCTCTGGCTCAATGCCTGAAGATAGCGTCAATATTTCAAGTCATGCTATACTCACACTAGGGCTTTTTCTACTAGCTCTGCACGTAAGATCTGGCCGTAATTGCAGTCGGATACATTTAGGAAAATGCTAATGTGAGTGCATGCCGCTCAGGTTCGCAGTGAATGAATGCATGCTGATTACTTTCCTTGGGTGTGTTAAACTGTGTTTCTCTTCTCTTCTCTTCTCTTCTCTTCTCTTCTCTTCTCTTCTCCTCTCTTCTCTTCTCCTCTCCTCTCCTCTCCTCTCCTCTCCTCTCCTCTCCTCTCCTCTCCTCTTCTCTCCTCTTCTCT